TGACAGTTGTCCAAAAGACGACCATCGACACCTTGCACAAGGAGGGCAAGACACAAAAGGTCATCGCTAAAGAGGCTGGCTGTTCACAGAGCTCAGTGTCCAAGCACATTAATAGAGAGGCGAAGGGAAGGAAAAGATGTGGTCGAAAAAAGTGTACAAGCAAGAGAGATAACCGCACCCTGGAGAGGATTGTGAAACAAAACCCCTTCAAAAATGTGGGGGAGATTCACAAAGAGTGGACTGCAGCTGGAGTGAGTGCTTCAAGAACCACCACACACAGACGTATGAAAGACATGGGTTTCTGCTGTCGCATTCCTTGTGTCAAGCCACTCTTGAACCACAGACAGCGTCAGAAGCGTCTAAAGAGAAACAGGACTGGACTGCTGGTGAGTGGTCCAAAGTCATGTTCTCTGATGAAAGTAAATTTTGCATTTCCTTTGGAAATCAAGGTCCCAGAGTCTGGAGGAAAAGAAGAGAGGCACTTCATCCACGTTGCTTGAAGTCCAGTGTAAAGTTTCCACAGTCAGTGATGGTTTGGGGTGCCATGTCATCTGCTGGTGTTGGTCCATTGTGTTTTCTGAGGTCCAGGGTCAACGCAGCCACATACCAGGAAGTTTTAGAGCACTTCATGCTTCCTGCAGCTGACCAACTTTTTGGAGATGCAGATTTCATTTTCCAACAGGACTTGGCACCTGCACACAGTGCCAAAGCTACCAGTACCTGGTTGAAGGACCATGGTATCCCTGTTCTTAATTCTTAATTGGCCAGCAAACTCTCCTGACCTTAACCCCATAGAAAATCTATGGGGTATTGTGAAGAAGAAGATGCAATACACCAGACCCAACAATTCAGAAGAGCTAAAAGCCACTATTAGAGCAACCTGGGCTATCATAACACCTGAGCAGTGCCACAGACTGATCGACTCCATGCCACGCCGCATTGCTGCAGTAATACAGGCCAAAGGAGGCCCAACTAAATACTGAGTGCTGTACATGCTCATACTTTTCATGTTCATACTTTTCAGTTGGCCAACATTTCTATAAATCCTTTGTTTTTATTGGTCTTCAGTAATATTCTAATTTTCTGATATGATGAATTTGAGATTTTCATTTGTTGTCATTTGTAATCATCAAAATTAAACAAAATAAACATCTGAAATATATGAGTTTGTATGTAATGTATGAATATAATATACAAGTTTCACTTTTTAAATGGAATTACTGAAATCAATCTACTTTTTCATGATATTCTAATTTTACGACCAGCACCTGTATGTTTGAGTCGATTTTTTTTTTAGCCCTGATTTTAGACTGTGAAGGGAACCTTTTGACATCTACAGTACTTACATCTTACATCTACAGCCTTTAATCACCAAGTGATTAAAGGCCTACTCATCCATAAACCGACGCTTTTTTATCTACAGATGATCTTTTGGTATTGTTGTCATATTCTTCAACTGTTAAAATATTTCTCTTCACTGCGATCTAACATCCCCTGTGTGTTCTCCTATTATGTTTTTTACATGGACCTACTTTGAAAACGGAACCAGAGTTTGAAAAGTAGCTCCTCCTTGCTTCAAGACTCCTGCTATTTAAAGAAAACAAAATGCATCAAATCCTCCTTTTGAGGTCCACATATATGGAGTTTGTACTGAACAGGTGGGTGATTGAAGATAAATACTTAGGGAACTTTAAAAGCCATATTAAAAAATTTTGTAAGACTGTTCATTCACATATGAATTGTTTTAGGATCATAATTAAATTTCTCCAAAATATTGAATTCAATTATCTGGTCTCATGTCCCTTTTGGTGCCACTGTCTGGTCACAAACTAGTCTAAAAACACTTAAAACCACTGGAACGCCTTTACAATAAGGCGTAAAAGGCCGTAGACTACAAAACTATTCAATTTTCTTATTTTAATCTTTTATCCAAATATGGCATCTTATCATTAACTAATTTAATAAATGTTAACATTATGCTACAGCTAACACTATTGCATGTAGGTCTCACCAGGTCATCTCTGATCTCATATTATTTCCATATCAAGCTCTAAAAAAAACTTTAATTTGGAACTTATAATTTCATTAAACCCACACTATAAAAGACTTACAGTTAAAGCTGTACTGCAAAGCATGCTGGTATTTACCTTGATCATTAGGCTAAGAGGATGCAAGTTTGCTCTCCTGTTGGACTCTGCAAACCCTCTCTTTCCCAAACAAACAAGACACTCGAACAGGGGCATGTGATCCTATGTTCCACGGCGCTTGAGGAGAAAACAATCAGCTCAAAGAAATTCTGACTGTTTCTCAAGATGTGTACTTGTGCATTCTCATGTGTACGTGAAACGTCATCAGCCTCAGACCCAGCACTGTTTCAATTCACAAGAACAGAAGACTGAGACAAAGTCCCTGGATGTTTTTCTCTCCCCTCCCTCTTTACCAAGTTTGCATCAGAGTAACTTGTCCGTTCTCGAGATAGACTACTGTCCCAGCATGCACCACAGCAGCTGCACTCACAGAGCTCAGAGTAAAAGTCAAAGTTCTCTTGAATAAAGTTTTGGTAAGAAAAAAAAATAAAAGCTCACTTTCCTGTTTCTGCTCTACAAAACTATGTTTTAAGATAATTTGAGGCGAGAACTTTATGCTTTTAAGCTTCACTATAGGCCTATTTACTGATTTAGTGCATAATTTTAAGGCAAGTTCTGATGTTGAGACCAGTAGACCTCCAAGTCTAAATGCAGCCTGGGCTAATGTTAACCCGTCTGCAGCAGCCTTCTCTTGGCACAGCCCTGTGTGAAGTCCCACTGGCTCTGATGGCGTTTTTTTTTTTTCTTTATTTGGCCAATCGTTCATTTGATTTGTTTTTATCTGACTGTGTTAAGTATTATTCCCGCACTAATTGAAAAAAGTAAGAATTTATTATTATCAAGAGACGATTAATAACAGCAGGTGAAATGCAGCTCCAGACTAGCTTTGAATGTAGTGAAGTCACGAGTTGTTCTAAATGGCCCATATTTATTCTCCTGTTCTCCTCAAGTACATACTTTCCTGTGTCTTTGTTAAGAACATACTCGCGTTCTTGTGAATTGAGAAACGTCCTACGTCTCTGACCTTTGGCAAGCTACATTTAAGAGACACCATCATGGATTACCATATGCCAAGAACCAGAATCTGCAGACTGATCACAGGCAAAAGGCGGGCATACACGGTATGATATTTTTAATTATTGTACTCAGCTACAGCTCAAACTGTATGACGAAACTACAGGGTTTAAAGATCACAGCTCATGATGTATGTGTGCCTCTCTGATGCACTCTGTGTGTCCAAAAACCACATTTCGGACACCGAGAGATGACACTGGTTGGACTCCTCAATATGGGAGAAAATAACTTGTTTGTACATGAGCAGTGCTTGAGGTTCTGGTAAATCGGCTCCTAGACAGTCTCAGCTCGGCTCGTAGACATTCCTGCATGGGAAGACGTTTGGGAAGACATTTTGCTTCCCATCCAGGAAGCCTGGATGGGAAGCAAAACATCTTCAAAATTTGAAAAAAAAAAGGCCAGGGGATTGTTTTTTTTTTTTACTTTTTTTTTAATGACTATGACCTGGATGACTGAGAATCTTCACCAGCACTCTACATTTATGTTGACAGGCACTTTATTCAGCAGGTATCTTGATGACTCTTGAACCTCCACTACAACAATTGAAATCTTGAAAAGTTTTGTGAATTAAGAGTATTTTCCCAATATTTGAGTTGGTAAGGAAGACAATTCCCAAGTCCAGTGTGTTGGCTTAGGTTTAAAATAAAATGTTTTTTTTTTCCTGTATTTTCATCAACCCTTTTTTCTTCTCCTTTTAAAAAAATAAATAAATAAAAAATTTGTGTTTGCATCAACCCTTTTTTCTTTCTTCTTCTTTGTCTAATCTATTGTCAGATTCTGGTGGCTCGGCTAGTGATTTTGAATCAAAACATTTTGTGCATTGTAAGTGTGAATTTGAACTTAAAGTTACATTATAAGTTTGTAATTGTAGAATAAAAACAATTCACAAGTACAGTTTTCTTTTACACCTGTTAAAATTGTGTTCTGTAAGTTGCACATCAAAATCTCTTACATTCTCAGTTTTGCTCTAAGGTTCCAGAAATTTTGTTGCAAAACTATTTGTGCTTTGCAACTTTGTTGTTTTGTAATTGTGGTCTTATTTTTTATCTTTCAGAATTACAATAAAAGGTACTCCTCTTCAAATTCTCGAGTACATGTACCTGAATTGTGTTCTGTGAGTTGCACATCAGCAATGTCTTTCATTTAGTTGTGCTCCAGTTGGTCTAAAACAAATGGTGCCAAAAAAATTCAAACACGTTTATTAAAATCTTCAAAACAAAATTTTAAGTTTATACTGATTGTGCTTTTTAATAGATATGGACATGTTTGTCAATAACTTCTTTTTTGGCATCAAGCTAATTTTAGTTTTTTTTCTTTTCTCTCACTTTTCAGTGCGAAGGATCAGTATTGGGAAGGCTGACTCCCTTCTTATTTATAAAGCACATGGCAAAATGTCCAAATCTGTGTTCTTGTTGCTATGCTGTTCCTCAGAATCACCTTTTTCTTAATAGGGTGTGTCCTCAGCCTACAAAAGCTGTATCCATCTGCATACATGACATTTTGTTTAATGATGTGCTCAGCCAGTTCTCCTTTCCCTTTATTTACATTGAGTTCAGCAGCGTTTCCATTCTTTGCCATGTAAATACAAGTTAATATAGCAGGGATTCACTAAACTCGAGGGCTTAACAATTCCCTGTGTGCTCCCTGTCAGTTGCATCCTGCAGAAGAAAAAGTGTCTTTATTGCAGCTTCATGGATTTGTTTTTTGTATTCAGTGTTGGTTGTATAATGCAAGTATTTTACTGCATCATTATCACCTGAAGGGGGTGTGTTGTTTTATTTGACAATGCTGAACACATGAGCTGGACCTATATAAGGGGACAGAGTTAAAAAAGCTAAACTCAACTCCCTTCTCCGGAAGAAGAAGACCTGAGAGCAGGTATGTCATTTTAGAGGTTTCACTAAGTAACTGATGCAACATATAGATTTATCTAAGAGGAACAACCAAAAGTCAAGAAGGCACATCTGCAAGTTTCACTTTAACTTAAAAATGTACGTACCGTATGTTATTGCAATATTTATTGTGGTATATTAAAAACAAATAAATAATAAGACAATGCATTCCTATGAAAACTCTTAGGCATCTACTTAAAGCTAAGAAGCTGTGCAAAGTTTTACAGCATTGTACTTCTTTTGCAGAGGTATTCTCTTCATTGTTGGGAAAATGTTTGTCATCCTGATTTGTATCTTAACACTCCAGGATGTGCACACTGCTTGTGTTTTGGTGAGTGTTACTCTATCAATGAATTATTTGAGCCTATAATACAAAAAAGGAAAAAAAGTGATTTCTTAAACTTTAACAGTCATATTCTAACCCTGCACTAGCTGAACTATACTTTAAATTTTACTGAGCTTTAGAGCCTTTGTGTTTTGCTTATTCACATCTTGGGTAGTTAAATGTTACTCCATTCAACTCAAATAGGTTTGAATATATTCAATAAGGATATAAATCAAAATTTAAATGCTTGTTTCAAATGTCCAAAAGTTTATAGTGTTTTCTTTTTTGCATATTTCAGTCTTATGTAAAATATAATTTTAATGTCATCCAGTTAAGTGAAAAAAAATTAGATCCACAGTTTTGTGGATTCTCACTGTTATCTTGCAGTTTTTCTCTATTACCACACATAAATGTTCCAGTTTGTCAAACAAACTTTTCCAGCTATTGGATCCAGGAACTGGAAATCAGTCTATTAAATTTCTAGGGAGATGTAAAACACTCTCTTGTAAAACACCTTCTCTTTATAATTGCTTTAATCCCACCAAATTTGAGGGTTGTAAAGCATGAAAAACCTGATTTAGGTCCATCCCTAGTACAGAAATTAAAATCTTCATTTTTACCAGACCACATGGTTTTGAGTCTTTCCCTGCATTAACAAATCAGAATTGGCATCTTTCATTTTGTCAACGCCTTTTTTTGACTCGAGATGTGCAAAATATGTGTTGACACCCTTCAGGGAGGGTTTTAATAAACATTTCAAAATAGATAAATAATAACAAAACATAAAAGGGTAACCTTAAACTGTTTACTCAGCAAAAAATATATAATATTCCTCAAGGCCTTTTTTTTTTCAAAAGAAGGTAGATCAACATCAGAAAAACCGAGAGTTCTTTTGTTTTTGTTTTTGTACTCAAAGTGACATTGACTCAAATAGAACTTTAGAAATCTCTTGATAACTGAAGCTTAGAAAGGTGAGGTAATCCTTATAATCAAATTACTGTTCACTCTCGCTTTTTTCAAGAATGACTGAGAATTTGAGCAGCTTTCCTGGTTTATTGTCATTTCATAAATAGATTAACATAAATATTTTTGTAAAGTGAGATCAGGTTTCAAACAAAGGGTAATACATTATGCTGCCTTGTCAGTTGTTTTTTAATCTGAATTTATATCTTTACAGTATATTCAATAAAAAATAAACTTTAAAAATACTTAATGTTGACTTAAGTCTTTTAACACAGATTTAGGAAGACAAATAGTGCATAACTGCCACCAGAAGTTTAAATGTTTACAGAAACGGATATAGAGAGGAGTCCCGCTGTGGATTTGTACCTTAATAAAAACCCAGCAGATAATCAAGTTGTTAATATACACAGCTTTGTTTCAATAATTATAAACTAACCAGGTGTTTTTCTTATCCCTCATGCACACGGCTTCACATCATCATGTGTTCACAGCAAGGTAAGTGGCCCCGTTTAATCCAGCAGGCGTGTTTAGCTGCACTGTTTTATTTTTGGTGTTGGCTGAAACGTTGCCAGCACGGCTCCCAGTCAGATTAGTGATTTTAGCTTAGTCCTGTCTCTGTGCTCCTTTGTTACATCGAGCCATTTCAGAGCAATTAAACCAGGATGTGTTTGTGAGTCATATCTTAAGCTGCCAGAGTAAACGTCAGTGCTCATTGTGTCTTCAATCTGCTGTTTATACATCGCTTTGTAATGTGTGTGCAGATGTTTGCCCAGAGAAAATAACCGTGCAGGAGGAGATTGTTGATGTCCACAATGCCTTCAGGAGAACAGTTGATCCACCTGCCAGTAACATGCTGATGATGGTTGGTCCTTTTTCAACTTTGATTTTAAGATTTTATTTTCTGGAACTAAATAAGCAAATTCAACAAAGTTAACCTTAAATCAACATAGTAGATGAATCAATTATGTTAAGCTAATTTTTTCATTGCACATAATCATATGTAACATTACATATGTTTTTTTACTAATAATAGTTGCTATTTACTTGCTGATTTTTTTTTTTTTTTCATTTATTTCAGCAGTTCTCTTGGCTGCTTCTTGTCTTAGTTAGGAAAACCCTTTTTAACCCAGATTTAACATAGGACTCAAGACCAATTTTCCATGCACTAGAACAAGTAAAACAAAATAAACTATCATAATGCCTAACTGTTAGCAGTCATAGCTGTAGATTTTTTTTCTCAATGAATACAAGCCCTAGGTCTTTGCAGACTCTGTTAAATAAATAAATTGATTGAATCAATGCTTAACGTTATACATCAAGAAAAAACTTATTTCCTTCCTCCAGAATTTGGAAGGGGAACAATGTAAAGATCTGCCGGAATTTTTGGTCCTGTTTTGCCAATATAGCTCTGGGAATAGATATCAGTGCTCTTTAGCCAATAGCCAATGCCTCTTTAGCCAATAGCCAATGTCTAATGACTTGGCTTTGTTTGCAAAAACAGATCATCATGGTTGTTGGCATAAGGTTCCACTTGATACTTGTATATTAAACTTTATTGAAAATTATTTAAGGAGTAAGTATACAACGGACACAGCAAGGGAGAGAAAGAGGGGATAGGAACTAAGGGAGACAGAGAGAAAAGAAACCAAAACAGCAAAAATAGTAAACAAAACAAAAACAGTAACTCTACACAAGTCTGCTTCCATCCCTTTAGGAAATTAGAGAACAACACAAAACAGAGAGCAACAAGCAAAAAAAAAAAAAAAAAAAAAAAAAAAGACAACAGACAACCAAAGGAAACTTAAAACAAAACAAAAGAGTCAAGTGTGTGAATAGTCTGTTTTGGGGCCAACATAACCTGCTAACAATAAATATGGGATCAATTATATGCCATCCCACAACTGTGTGTGACGAAGCAAGTGGCCAGCAATGTAGCAGCTTAATCACACACTGCTGTGGTACACATCAATGTAAAAAAAGCTAACCCTCTCATGGGAAACTCCTAAACAGAAACTCAACATGTAACCAGAGTGGAATCATTTCCAGTTCAACACAGGAAGTATAAAAAATTTTGCACTAAGCATATTCCCTTTGAAATAAACATTTTCTGTTCATTTGTTTGAGATGAAAATGTTGTAAGTCATAAAAAACCATATTTTTTCTAAATATTGTAATATTTTCTAAAACAAATATTTGATTATCTTCTTTTTTTTGGTCAGACCTACAATTCAGAGTTAGCAGTCACCGCTCAGGCATGGGTTGAACAGTGTAATCTCACTCATGGACCACCCAGCACCCGAATGTTTAACGGTACCTTTGATGTGCTTTCTTTCTTTCTGTCTGTCTATTTGTCTTTCTGTGCCTTCACTGCTCCATCATTCTGGGCTGTATATATTTCCTCCAATAGTCTAAAAGCTTTTTAAAATGACTTCCCTTGAGATAAAAGATCACAACCCATAATGTTAATTTATTGTCTTTCCTAATGTCTTTTTTGATATTAAATAGCATCTAGTGAAATATTAATGATAATTACATTAGTGGCCTTTTTAATTAAGCCTGTTTTCATGTAAGTAGTGTATACTAGTTGAAGATTGAATTGAAATATACTCATTCATCGTGTGTTTCAATGTGTTTGCCTCCATTATGCAGGATATGAATTAGGCGAGAATCTCTTCTATGCATCTTCCCAATTCTCATGGACTACTGTCATTACTGCCTGGTACAATGAAAAGTCACACTATCAGTATCCCACTGGATCCACCAATGGGCTACCCATTGGTCATTACACACAGGTAGCCACAATTTATTAAGCATAAATGCAGAACATGTTTTCTTTATATATACATTTAAAGGAAAACAATGGAATTATATATTTCGGTCATGTATATAGATTCCCAAGATGATGTTGACACTAGATATTCAGGGTCATCTTGATAGAGCAGTAATTTGTTTAGAAATATTTTAATATATGGTTTCTCGATCTACAACGGGAAGGAAGCAGCTAATCTTCATATATCAACTTAATGTATTTGTTGCCCTAATGAAAGAGTTTATAAACCGAATTAGAAAAACAGTAACTATTCTAGTTGGGTTGGAGTGCATTCACACACAAAAGCAAAATATAATTAAATTCTACCCTTTGCATGGACATAATTTATCATAGTAAAATGGTATCATGTTACCATCCCGTTCAGCATGTTCTGTCCTTTTATGCTGGCATTTAGATAGAATTATCTGCATATGCATTCATTCATCAATCATATTTAAAGCTGTTCAGTTCTCCATCCATCCATCAATGGAGAAGTAAAGTAAAGCTCCCCAGTCAATTGTTATTTCTAAAGATATTAGTGTTCCCAGTTAACACTGGCTACTATTATTTGTTAACCATGTCTTGGGGTTATTTATGTATTATAAATATGCTCTTACAGTTTAGATTTTGTGACCCAGTTGTGTTTCCAACAAAGAACTACATTCTTTTTCTGTAACATTTTATTAGACTATTTTTGGTCTTTTTTATGAAACAAAAATACAGACACTTACTTGTCCCTACTCCATGAAGGAGTTCATTAAAGCATTTAGAGATGATCTTTTTCTAAATGCAGCAGTGCAAAAAACAAGCAAACAAAAAAAAACAATATTTGATTTATTTTACAGGTGGTGTGGTACACTTCTTACCAAGTTGGCTGTGGAGTTACTCTGTGCCCCAACAACATCTACTTCTACGGCTGTCATTATTATCGAGCGTATGTAACATCTTTCACACCCATTTGATTTAGTAATTATACATGTTTTTATTTATGTGATTTCACAAAGTCTTCACTCTATATTGCAATTTGTGCAATTTCACATTTTGTGATGTTACAGTTTTTTGCTAACTAAATTTCATTAATTAAAGTTTTGATGATTTTCCACACAATACCTCATAAGGACAGTTTCCAAATACGTGTTTTTGGAACTTGTACAAATGTATATAAAAGTACACAAAATTACATCCACATAAGTGTTAAAATCCTTTGTTTTATCATGTTTTAAGTACCTAGAGCAGCAATGACTTTGGTATGTCTAATACTTGTTTTAGGGAGGTTTCCATCAATCTAGGGGTGAGCATTGGTTTGCAGGCCTTATAAATTTTTCTAGCTGGAAAATCTCTGTCTATAACTGTTCAGAAACATGAAAAGTATCATGGATATTATTCTGTATAATTTAAACACAAGGATGTATAAAATTAGCTATTAATTTACCCAATATGATGATCATTTGGAAAACTGAAGCACAAAAAATCAACCAGAGAGGCTCTGCTGTTTCAGAGTGGAGCTCTTTCCATTGTTGCTCTTATCACAGCAAAGAGAGAAAAGAAAATGCACAGAGCATCCAGCTGCTCTGCAAACAGGTTTGTCCTCAGCTCTGTGAAAGTTGGATGGCAAGGCTGTCACAACCAGTGAGAGTTTTAGTGTTCTATTGTAAAAGTTTTTAAGCTACTAACAAGATTGAAATATAGCCTAATTTTGTCCGCAAAAAAATGAAAAACTAAATAAAGGAACCATTCTTTGTTTGTTTCATTCTAAAAATAAAAATCATTGTTGTTTTCCAATTGAAGGAATTGATGATCAAATGAAACATGGATTGAAACAAAGGCCTTTTCAAGGAATTTAGGGGCCCCAAGAAAAATTCACGCGAAGGTTACGCCTCTTGAGGCGTAATCCTATAACAGTGTCATTGTACTTTTCTGCCGTGACAATCACTGAATATAAATGAGCGCTTCCTCACACCGTTTGTCATATGATACATTTCATATCCAGCTCAGCCATCTCAGGGCAACAGGCAATTGCTTGGTTTTCTTGCCGTGTTGCAACAGACCTTATTTTAACACCTTTCTTCATTTTAAAACCTTTACTTTTTTTCTTTAGTGGGAACTTTAACAACTGGCCACCTTACAATGTAGGAACTCCATGTTCTTCCTGCCCAAACAACTGTGTGGAAAACCTTTGTAGTAAGTAGAATCACACAAAACTTTTCCTTATTTTAAAGAGTACTCTAATTGTTTTTCCTATCCCAATTTCCCAGCCAATCCATGTCCTCATATTGACAAGTACCTCAACTGTCCCCAGCTAAAAGCAGTCCGTGGCTGCAGAGACCTGGAGGTGAATGAGGCGTGTCCTGCTTCATGCACATGCACCACTGAGATTGTTCCAATACATTAGATTGAGAACAAAAGTACTTGAATTTTTAAACATTCAGGATAAGTACTTTATCAGAATCTAATGCCTGATTCTTGCATCTGCAAAGTTCAATAAAGGCGGTATTCCAAAATGTGGCTATTTTGTATCTATCTTGTGTTATTAATTGTTTATATTCACATTTTCTTTGGTAAATTTATTTAAAGCAATTAAATGCCTTGGTTTGACAGACATAATTGCTCCTGTAAGGGGATTGCCCAAAAGTTACTGATTTTTGAATGGTTTTTTTGGGGTTCCATTACATATATATTTCTCTCTATATATATTTTCCTATAATATACAACTCTTCTTTTTTGTTTCAACATTCATCATCATTTCAGCATCAGAATAGGCATGCAACAAAAAGTATGTAGTAAATTTTATTTTTAGGACCAACTAATTGGTTTACCTTTGTATTTTATAAGCCTTCTAATAACCCCACTGTTTTGTTCATTGTTAAATTACCTGTAATCAATACATGTCATCTTCAAGAGGAGGTGCAGTCATTTTTTTTGTTTTCAGTATATATATATTTTTTTATCTTTTCAAAGCATTTTACTCTTTTTTAGGTCAGGGTTATGATGATGTCACTCCGATTGTTATGATGGCCCTGAATTGCAAACCATCTTAACAAATCTTCAAAAACACTACAATATGTTTAAAAACACAATGACATAAAACTTCCAGAAGAGGTAGATATCAGTGGGAATCATGAGACCTTGTTGATGAAATGACGGCACCTTTTGGCTTTTAAACTGGAAGTCATTGTGCCAAATAGAATCAATTCCGATTTTATGTCCTTTAAAATGTGGTTTATGTGTTGATTAATGTTTTTTATCGTCACTTTATTGATATGTTGACTATTGATTTTTATTGATACGTTGTATCACTTCAAGATTAGCATGCAAATTGATTCAGGAAAAAAAATAATAATAAAAAAAAAATTTATTACATATATATATATATATATATATATATAAATATAAAGAAAATAATTTAGTAGAAAGTATACCAAGATATAGGATAATTGTTCGATTAAAAAAAAAACAAAAAACAACTGTAATTTTTAAGAGAGCCTGTGAATCTTGCATTGTAAATCTAAAAACATTCCTACAAAATACCACATTTTAGGATTGGAATGCTTTTCCCCTTTTCTTCCTGCATAAAATGTATGAACTAAAATTAAATCCCTAAACACACTACACATGATTTTGCGTCTGATCTGAAGGAAAATCACATCACCCTTCCTGAGAATCACCTCATTGCCTCACCCTGTCCCACAACCTTATTGTTGTACTGTCAATTTAGTTCAGTTTATCTATATAGCGCCAATTCACCACACATGTCATCTCAAGGCACTTTACAGTTCAACCAGATAATACAGTCAAATTGCTTTAAAGTTTTCTAACCAATGAAAACCAGTTGATTGCATCGACTCATTGACTCAAAGGCAATCCCTCACACTAAGCATACTTGTAGCGACTGTGGAGGGGAAAAACCCCTTTGAGCAGGAGGAAACCTCCAGCAGAACCAGGCTCAGGGTGAGCGGCCATGTGCCGAGGTCAACTGGGGTTCAAAGATACAGAGGCAGAGATACAGAAAGAAGCAGAGATACAAAGGCAAGAAACATGGTTGCACCCAAAAAATTTAGCACATATTATATTTTGCATTTTGGCCTATATTAGTTGGTTGGTTAGTCTGATTTAAGAGCTTGTTCTGCAGGCTGGTCATTCAGTGGGGCTGTGCTTTGTAACTATGCTGGCTGTTTTTTTTTTTTTTTCTGTTTTTAAATAGGTCTTTTAATGTGATTCAATTAAATGTGGAACGCTAGGTGTGTTTGAGAAAAAACAGCACCTTAGCTGGAATTTGGAAGAGAATGTGCGGGTGTGCTGATAGGTGGGATTAAAAGTTTGCTGTTAAGCTGGACCAAGCAACTGAAACTGAACAAGATGGCTGCAATCTAATTTGTGTTGTGCAACTTCTTGATGAAATACATAATAAAAAAAATAACATTTTGCTTTGGAGTCCTATGCACCTACAGTTAGTTATGTTCTATATTTTAATAATAACCTGTATAACTGATCTATTGTTTTAATTCTGATAAGCCTACCCACAATCAATCAGCAACTGGCCTATTAATATTGGCAGCTGTTACGCCTCAAAAGTATTCAATAATCAGTCAAGCATAGGCTAATATTACATATATTTTTTATTTGTTTTGCATGTTATTTATATAACATCCATGAGTGTTAAATTCATGACAACAAATAGCCTCCATCTAAAGAATACTTGGAATAAATATGCTACTGATCGAATGCCCAGGTTTTATCTATGCACACTTTGAAGAAAATAAAGGTGAATTAGAAAGGTTATAGAGGGCATGTAGGGGATTTTTATTTGTAAACCTTAGATTCCACTACTGACAGGTGGGTGTTTTCCTATGCAGTGCAGCATCAGAAGTTGCTTTTGATCAACTGTTGCAGCTGGCTCAGATGGCTGATCTCGCTCAGATCTCTTTAGGTCCCAGTTGCTCCAATGCTGCTGACATAAGAAATAGAAGGGAGGAAGTCAGACAGAGATCTAACCGCCATGCACCACACGCAGACTGATCGGATCTGTGCAAGTCTAGGTCATGTGCAACACACCTCTTGTTTCAACCTTTGTGGCAGGGAAAAAAACAAAACAAATCAGCACAGATCAGGATCTACCATCCTATATGCAGTGGGAGCCTCTCTATAGGTACTGCAGTCAGCGTGATATGAACAAATTGCAGTAGAGATTAAGAAGCTGGACATAACCAGTGTGACATAGGCTAATTGATATGTGTATGTTAGAACAGTACAAATAAGTTTCAGTGTACGCTCACTTTATCTCTGAACACCACAACAAATTGAATAGATAATATGATGTTGCAACAATAAGGTTTATGTAGTCAAGAATTTTCACAAGCAGTCCTGCTGTGGCTGGTAAGAGGCGTGGTTAAGATGAATGCTCAGTAGTCTTGCTCGGTTGCAGATTTAATGCTAATTCTGCCTCTTATCTTACAAAAGCCCAGAGTGGTCAACTCTAACCATTTTTTGTGTGTGATACTTTCTCTAAGAAAAAAAATAAATATGAACTACTATGCCAAAAAAGAGGAATGGCAGCAAACAAACAAAGCAATTAGACAAAGGTGTGTTCCATGAACCTGAGGCTAGACCTGAAGATGCCTCGTCAAACCTGTTGGCGAAACTGCTGGAAAAACTACTTGATCGGTTGAATAAACGCTTTCAACACAACACAAGAGCACTAACCAAAGGGGTGGAAGATACGGAGCAGCAATGTTCCGACTACAAGGGCAGTTAATAGGCACTTGAACAAAAGCTGTCTGCTTGCTGGACCACTGTGAGCAACATCAGATTTGCACACAAAGGCCAAACTTTATATACTGTATTTACGTATATACATAAATTATCCTGGTATCATAGCAAGATAGAATGGCCCCAGGTTTACTGCATCGTGACGTCACGGCCGGGAGATGTCAGGAGTGAGGTTTTACCATCTTTGGGCAAAAATGGCTGCTTCCAGACTCAGTGATCCTAACGAAAATAATTACTTTTATTTTTTTTACTGATTAATGCTAAATTCATTAAGTCACTGCAAATGTATTAGTTTTGGGTATAGATAATGATCCACTGATTTTTGCTTGCTGACCGGACTTTTTCTTTAACAGCCAGCCCAGGAGTCCCACCTTTAGTAAAAGACAGAAGAACCTTTGTGAATAAGCAGATATCAGTTATAATCATTAAACTAACAATTGTTAATTGGCCAACCCAGGCTGTATGATGGTGCAGTTTGCAGCTGCCTTGCAACAAGAAGGTTCTGAGTTCGATTCCCAGCCCGGGGTCTTTCTGCATGCGTGTTCTCCCTGTGTATGTGTGAATTCATTAGCATCTCTTGAATTGTCCTTAGCTGTGAGTGTTTGTGCATCGCTGTACGTGTTTAGGTGTCTCTGTTTTACCCTGCAATTGACTGGCAACCTATCCAGGGTGGCCTCACCTCTTGCCCATAGACTGCCAGAGATAGGCACATGTCCCACTGCAACCCTGATGGAACAAGATGGATGGATTTACTTTTTTACCTGTGATTATAATTGTCTATTAATTATATAACTGGCAGTTATACTTATGTAATATATTAATAATCTTCTAGTAAAATTCAACAACATTCAATTAGTCTGTGAAGGATCGAATCTAGGTCTAACTTGCTGCAGTTACATCGTATCTCCACAATTACTAGTTTGTCAGCTATGCGCTGCCATAGTGCAAAAGATGTTTGCCTCCATAAAAGGCAAACCAACTCGTAAATAATTAAGAATATCAATTTCTAACGAAAGGCAAACATAAAGATTGACCTTTCAGGTCATAGGTGATCATAAATAGCATACACATAGATAATGAATTACATTTCCTAAACCACAAACTTTCTTGTGTGCTTGTGTCAGAGACACCTTGCAAGTGTTATTTATGCAATTTGATGGATTGTTTTCAAAGTAGGATGCAAATCAGTGATGTGCTTAGAAGGATTCTTAAAGGTTGAGTTCAAGGGAGTCGCTAGAATTAATTAGGACTCCCTTAAAGTTGTCCAAACCTTTAAAAAAATTGAGGGAAATTCTGATTGAGCAGTTTTTTTGTTTAAAGAAGAAAGTAAATTATTTTCTAAATTGTCTTTTTCAAGGAGCATTTTCTTTGAAATTAAAAAGAAAGCTAAGCAGCTATGTAGAGTATTTCAGGCTTGCAGTTTTTTTTTATAACAGTCCAGGATGTCCACACAGCTTGTCTATGGAGAGTGTTATCATATCACTGAATTGTTTCAGCCTATAATTTGCAAAGCCAAAAAAATGTGATTATCACTGTTTCGCAACAGTACCCAATAACATTCGCATTGGAATTATTTTGTTTTTGGTTGACTGTTATTTCTTTACAGGGGATGAGCATGTAAAATATTTTTAAGTGATATCAGGTTAAAATCATAATGTAATAAATTATGCAGCCTTATTTTTTTCCTTTTTAACGTCCTGAAACTCACCTGGGTGTATTGGGTATCCACATAGTTTTTT